GACATGAAAGACCGAATGGATTGAAGCTGATACAAGTAGCTTTAAACAATAAGCTACCATCCTAACTCTATCCTCAATCTAGAAAGGGCCACAGTAATCAGTAGAGAGTTTGTCAAATTTATGCTTGGCCATTGAGTATTGTTTGTTTATAGTGTCAACTTCAAGTAAATCCACTCGCTATTTGCAAATCGGCATTTTGTTATATGTCTATTTACTAATTGGCACATACGGTGTTATACTTGAGAGAGATTTTGCTTGAGTTAGGTTAACAGGGCTTCTCTACTACTGATGTACTTGTCTATTACTTTGACTGGAGAATCCTTGAGAATGTATGGTCAGTGGATTGAGGGTGAAAACTCATAATTTTTTTGGAAGAGTGTCAGCTTAGTGGAGGAAGAAGTTTGTATTATACCACCATTCAGTAAGGGTAGCCATTTTAACCATTCAATAGGTGTACACTTTGCCATGCATCGAAGGTAGTTTTCTGGAAACGATTCTCCATTTATGTTTGACCATCTAACTAGGGGTTGTCAGCTGTGGAATCATGCAGGTCAATCCTTTGTAGTGCAAATAATCTCTAATATCAATTGATTGGGTTGTTATATTTCTTGGTGACAAAGGTAGGATGAAGAGAGAGAGAGAGAATTGTAATATTTTTTATACCAATACCTTGTACAATTCCATTGCAAGGGATACATATCATTAGTTTTTTTATCTGCTACGCTGTAAGTTGAATAAAATATATAAAATCATTTAAAAAAATCATTTCAGTTTGATAATCTATTTTATAGTGTGAATCTATAAAAATATATGAAATCAAAGGTGGAAAAAAATTATTTATAATTTTTTAATAAAAATTTTATATTTAACTATTTCTTATTTGTGTTTTTAATATTTTTTTCTTTAGAAAAATGATTTATCCTTGTTTATCCATGGATTATTAACTAAAAAGAAAATTAAATAATTTTTTAAAAAAAGATTTAGTATTTCATAAGATTATGTCAAAAAACAAAAATAATAATTATTAAAAGCTTACATAGAATTGAATAAATATATTTTTTATTTAATGTTGATGAGAATATCGGTTTTTGAAAAAATATGAATTTAATTTTTATATATTTATTTACAAAAGAATGAATAATATTAAAATAAAAAACTATATTAATTTGAATCATTGAGTGGTTAAGCCAAAATATAATTTTAATTTTTTAATTTAAAATAAGTCAATTTAAAAAATTAAAAATAAATAAATAATTAGTAAATGCTTAGTATAGTAGTTGCATCATTAATTTCTATGAAAACAATGATTCAATATTTTATACTAAGTGAGTTCGAAGTTTTTAGTCTAAAACAAAAAATACTATAAAAAAAAAGGTTAACTTACAAGGAATCTATTGACTAAATTTGAAGTTAATAGACTAAAATAAAAATTATTACAAATTTGATTTCGGTTAATTTTGATTATATAAAGAAGACACAAATTAATAAAACATGTGAATTTTTTTTCTTTTTCTTTTCTTCTTTCTTAAATAATTTTTTATTTCTATGCTATACATGGCTAGTCTTTGAATACAAGCCTCACGCACAGAGCAACCATCTTCTTTTTATTTTTCACATTTGACTTTCAACTATTAATTAACTAATTTGAGTTTTTTTTCTAAAAAAAATAAGAAAAAATTATTTGAAATACACTTTTAATATAAAAATGTATTTTAGACAAATTATGTATATTAATCATGTCACTATAATTTAAAAATTATCTAAATCTATTTTTTAAACAAAAAAATAATCATGTTTTAAAAATTTATTTCAAAATCCATACATATAGAAAAATAAATCAAAATTATTAGTAAATATAATTTTGAATTAATTGGATGAGAATTTAAAAAAATCACAAATTAAAGTAGTAAATTTTAAATAATAAAAATAATTAACAAAAAACACTAAGACAAAATAAGACCAAATCACAATATAATTAAAGTTTGAAATTGACAAAAAAAAAATGTATAGAAAAATTGAGGACCATAAAATTTTAAATTAATTGGATGAGAATTTAAAAAAAAATGACAAATTAAAGTAGTATATTTTAAATAATAAAAATAATTTAAAAAATAAAATAAAATGGGACCAAATCATAATAAAATTAAAGTTTGAAATTGAAAAACAATTATAAAAAAATTAAGGACTAAAAATGTATTTATGATAAATTATATATATTAATCATGCCATTATAATTTAAAAATTATAGAAACCTATTTTTTAAAAGAAAAAATAATCATGTTCTAAAAATTTATTTCAAAATCCATACAAATAAAAAATTAAATCAAAACTATTAGTAAATATAATTTTAAATTAATTAGATGAGAATTTTTTTTAAAATGACAATTTAAAGTAGAAAATTTTAAATAATAAAAAAGAATTGACAAAAAACACTAAAACAAAATGGGACTAAATCACAATACAATTAAAGTTTGAAATTGAAAAACAAATATATAGAAAATTGAGGAGCATATAATTTTAAATTAATTGGATGAGAATTTTTTAAAAAATGAAAAATTAAAGTAATAAATTTTAAATAATAAAAATAATTAAAAAAATACTAAAATAAAATGAGACCAAATCACAATATAATTAAAGTTTGAAATTGAAAAAAAAATAGAATTAAAAAAAAGAGACAAATTAAAGTAGTAAATCTTAAATAATAAAAATAATTAATAAAAAATATTAAAACAAAATGAGATCAAATCATAATACAATTAAAGTTTGAAATTGAAACAAAAAAGTATAGAAAATTTAAAGACCAAAGTGTTACAAAAATGTCATAAATAATGAAAGGAATAGTGATTTATGAGCGTGTAAACGAGTGATTCGTGAGTGTATGAACAATGTTTCAAAAAGTGAATGAATAGTGAATAATGGTTTTACTTTAGGTGCTGTTTGATAATCGGGAATAGAGTGATGAGAATGAGAATGTAAGAATCGGAATGATATTTGTGTTTTCATACTGTGTTTGAAATACCAATGAAGAATCCGAATGCAATTTAAATTTTTAATATCCGATTTTTTATATAAATAAAAATAATTATTAAAAAAATAATTTTATTAAACTATAATGGTTGTAAAAATAATAAAAGTGATGGTGGTGATTGTGGTTATAACAATGGTGATTGTAATGATGGTGGTAACGATAGTGGCGGTAGTGATTGCGGTAGTGGTGGTGGTGGTGGTGGTGGTGGTGGTGATTGTGACGATTGCGGTGATGGTGGTGGTTGTTGGTGGTACCGGTGGTTGTTGTGGTGATGCTGGTTGTGATTGTGGTGGTAGCGGTAGTGATGGTGATGGTAAAAGTAATTAATAGATAATAAATAAATAAAATATATTATTATTTTAAAAAATCATTCTCATTCCTTTTTTTATTCCTACATCTTGTATGAGAATGGAGTTTTGTGTAAATTTTCATTCACATTTCCACTCTTCATTCCTCTTCCCACTTCATTTATTTTAACCAAACAGATTACTAATGTAAGAATAAAATTTTTATTCTCATTTTCATCATTTTATTCCTAATTATCAAACATCACTTTAGTTTTATTGATAATTTGTTCTCTCATTATTTACTAGGAAGCCCCAGCCCATAGAAATAAGCAGCCTAGACTAGTAGAGCCCATCTAAGGAGGCCAGCTCACTACAACTAGTATAGGATCGCCCATTACAAAATAAAACTAACTAACTTGACCCATTACAATTAAGCCCAGTTACACTCAATTCTTTCAAAACCCAATTGAAAGAAATTCCTAAATTAATTTAAGGACACCTCGTCCTCTTCGAAGGCTATATCAGTGCATCTTAGTAGTACTCTTAAATGAAGACCCATGTAGGATTGGTGATCGCCTCCTTTCAGCAAACAACGCTGAAACCTCTGGCATTCTTCTAGGCTCTTTCAAAGTCACTGTTAAAATTGAGACTTGATTCTTGTCCTTGTTAGATCTGTGCATCTTAGACTTAGATGAAAACCCATGTGGGATTGATGAATGTCTCCTCTCAGCAAACCTCATTGAAGACTTTGGCATTGTTCTAAGCTCTTTTGATTTCTCCTTGGCAGTAGAGTACTCTTGATCTTCTCTCTACGAGCCAACATACAGCCGAGGAAAGCACTTTGATCGGCGATAATTGAAGAGAGAGAGAAAATTAGAGTTAGTTTAGGAGAGAATTGAATTTGATTTGGGGCTTTTTGGGTTTTTCATTTTTTTTCATTTCTAAAATTTATTCTTTTAATTTCGAAAATCAAATAGAAAAAAAATTACAATATGTCAAGGTCTTGTGTCTCTTTCATTGAGATTTTTGGCCGGCATCTCAAAATTTTAATAGAAAATTAAGAGACAAAAGTAAATGTTAATTAGGAATAATAATTAAAAAAATTAATAAAAGGATACGATTAAGACAAAAGTAAATGTTAATTAGGGTTCAATTCTCCTAATTTTGGCAAGGTTCAAGTTTGGTCGATGTCAGTAAGGAGCCTAAACTATAAGGCTCAAACTCACTCTCAGAGTAATTTTAAAATATTATTAAATTAATCTTTGGTAATTTTAATTTATTAGAATAATATGATTAAATTTCCTTAGTATAAGAGGCCAAACCCCACTCTATAGGGTATAGAGTTAGGGAGGTCACGAGAGTATGATCGTTAAATTTCTTTAGTACAAGAGGCCAAACCTCACTCCATAGAGTATATATAGAGCATGGAGTTAGGGAGGGAAGGCATGGTTGAGAGCAGATAAGCAACTCCATTTAAACTACAATTCTTCCATTAAATTGTATGGAAAGATTCGAACAAACCAGATATTCAACATAATTGACAGCAATCAATCCCTGAAACATGTAAAAATACATAGTTGTTGTCGTCTAAAAGTTTTATTCAAAATATTTATTTCTTAGAATAAAACCATGCCATCTATTTTGTATTCACCAAGTAATTTAGACTCATCTTTCTCTTACAAAAAATGTTATGTGAAATTAGAATCATATTCCTATCGAACTATTGATGTGATATTAATTTCAGTCATGTTTAATACCATTATCATCATGAACAACAAGCACTGAGGCTATTTCTATTTATACAGTGAGTGAGTTACTAATAACAGTAACATTAGATTTCATGGAAATTAATGATTTTGCTTCAAAATTTACATTTGACATTTTAGCAGCAAAATCTTTCATCATCCTTCCATATTTGCAACATACATATCAAGTATATTCTTTCTATCTAAAGGCTTATTAAAGATTTTTATTTCAATAGGTTATTTTTACTACCAAATAATTATTTGCCGGTTAGCATGAGATATCAATTGAGACGTGCCAAAAAAAAAAAAACACATGCATAGATTATTAATTAAAGACAAAATTTTTTTGCCAATATCAACAAAGAAAGGCAATTTTCCATTAGTAATTTGGTTAATTAGAATCAATAGCGTTGTCCCTTCAAGGAGTACTGTCAAAGGGGAAAGAGGAGAGGAAGGATTTAGTTTATCAGCTCGAGGTCGCTCAGGCCTCTACTGATGGGGCGTATACCGAACTCGATCAGCACCGCTCGAAAGCATACGGAATCTCTCCGATCCAAGCACAAGTGGTTGCTGGCTCAAGCTCGGGTGGATGCAGTGGAGGAGTACAAGAAGTCAAGCTCGGGTGGATGCAGGTCTCACCACAAACCAACGAAGGCATGTTCTTCGAATTTGACATCTTAACAAAGATAAAATGTGAAAACTGGTATGGCTACTTGATATTAAAGGAGGAGATACAACAAGTCGACGAGTCAACAACTGAAAAGCAAAATGTGAAAACTGGTATGGCTCGGCGCTATTGATTTTGAGGGCGACTGGGCGTTAATAGTGTGGAAAAAATCTCAGCTAGGTGGATCAAATTTCCTAATAATTTTAAATGAATGTGGGTGCAAGACTAAAACCAAAGTGGAAGGTGATGGTGAAAGTTTTTCTCATAGGCCTAGAAAGAGTAATGCTTAAATAATAGTTGTTAAATAATCACTTAAATTAATATTTGTTAAATTATTTTTAAATATTTTACATGCAAATAGTCGTAACCAATATATGACATCTATAACATATTGGTATATTGATCTCACATTCGTATTTATAATTATAACTCAAAATTGCATTTTAAAACCATGACTGAAATCTCAAACTTGTATGTGAGAAGTAAAATTGTTATAAATTCTCTAATTCCCACGTAAATAGCCTATTTGTTGTTGAAAACTTTAAAAATATATAAAAAAAAAAAAAGGACTAAAGTGAGAAGAAGTTATTTGATAGAATGTTGCTGTGATTTGTTAGAAAGATAACGTGTTCTTTTGACTTTTGGTTTAATACTTGTGAGATTAGAAAGCACCGACACTTCTGGAAAGCCTCTTTATCCGTATTTGACATACTCAGATACAGACACAATCAGATACATATTGAATATGTGGAGAAACAACAAGAAAGTAATATTGAAAAAAAAAATTCGGATTTGGATACATGGAGATTTTATATCTAAATTTATTTTGAGTTTAACCCAAATAAATTGAATAGAAAAAATGGATAAAACACATCAAGTTCTTCTAGAGATTTTCCTTTAATCTTCTTGATTGGCTTTACTTAAAAGCTTATTGGGTTTATTCTAAGTATTTCTAAACTCAAATATAATTTCAAAAATCATTTTCAAACAACTATTCAACATAAAATTTCAATTTAATGTTTTTGAGAACTAAAAATTTCAAATTCTTATAACTCTCCATTTTAGCAGTGAAATTGTTTTTCACGGCAATTGGACAATGAAATTATTTTAGCTACGTTCCCATTTGGAAAATTGCTTAAAATTCTTTGTGTTTATTATGAAATAATGAATGTCTATTTTATATTCCAACTACTTATATAATTTAATTCATTATTTAATATGAGAAATTAAAAGGAAGATGTAATTTATTTAATTATTTATGCATCTTTTAATGGTTCATAGTCCCTTCCAATTCTCTTCCTAATCTTGAAGCCTAGGCTTGATTGTTTATTAGTTTGTGTATAAGTTTTTTGTAGAGATTGAGAAAATTATTTGGAGTTCTTATCACTTGTATTCATTTTATTTTATAGTGAATTCATTTTCTTATCATCTTTCTCGTCAATTCTACTATTATCACCATTTCTGTTATAACACCTTATCGGCACGAAGCTCTAACCAATCGAGATAATAGACCATGAGGTATGTATCTATCAAAAGACTTAATCATTTATTTCAATCATTTGATTTTTTCTATACAAGTACTCAACCAAAAGATCTAAATTATTTAGATCATTAAGAGGTATATATTTAATTTATCATGTACTTTAAATTTAATGATACATAGAATATACATTTGAAAAACTTAAATGATTTAATACATAGAATCTAATAATCTAATATATATTGTTCAAAAAGTTTAAATTTTATTATTATATTTGTTTTTATTTTCTAATATTATTATTATACTTTGCATTATAAAATTGTTATGATATCAACCCTCATAAACTTGATTTTGTGACCCTTAACATTTTGAGCAAGAATTATTGATCATGAGTATTTGATGCTCGAGTAAATATTCTCTACTTGTCATGTCTCTAATATGCTCATACAGTAGTATATCGAGAAAAAGAGTTTAAGAAATATCCCGAATCGATTTCATACTTGTTCTTAGCTAAATAAAATGAAAAGCTATTGATGAAAAAGAATAAATCTTGTCTAACTGGATTTACTCCATTATCCGACGTGAATGTGATAACTTATAATAATTTTGGGCTTAGATGAAGATGTGGTCACGGACGTGGTCGAAATAATTATCTTTATAATCGTGATGATTATAAAATACATATCACCACAAGAAGTGGATAATTATGAAAAAAAAGAAGAAGCAAAGAATAACAATGGATCAAGTCAATATTCTGAAAATGAATATTATAGATGTGATATAAATGGATATTAGTCACGTACTCGTCGTATACCAAAGGATCTTATTGAGCCTTATCAAGTCTCATTGAAAAAGAAAAGGCTAAAATATAAAGGCCAATTTTATATATCGAAATGGAGGTAATTTAAATTAATAACTTGTTAACTTTTCTATTTATAAATAAGATGTTTTATATTTTTCTATAATTTCAATTGCATAAAAATAATATAAATTTATTTTACTATTTATTAATTTATGTTTATGAAGAACATATTTATTTATTTTATGTTTATTTATTTAATTATTTATTCTATGTTAATATTATATATGATAATATCGATCTAATGAAAAGCTCTAGAAGAGCGAATATATTAGTACTCGAAGAGACAAACTTTGAAAGCTTTAAAAAAGCAAATATATTATTGCTCGAAGAGACAAATTTTTGATACTCTAAAAGAGAGAATATATTATTACTTGAAGAGACAATTTTTAAAGGCTCTATAAGAGCGAATATATTATTACTTGTAGTGACATAATTTAAAGGCTTTAGAAGAAGAAAAATGTTATTATCTAAAATGATAAATTTTATTATAAATGATGTACTATTCTCTCTAAAGTCTCATAGAAATTTGTTGAGTTGCAAACATATTCATATAAATTGATATCATATCAAGACATCAAATGTGAAAAATATTGAATACTTGTATATTATAATTATTATATCGGGTAGAAAATATATATTAAAAATTTTATTTATTTTTTTCTTTTAGTCTTTATTACAAACATTGGAATGATTGAAATAAATGCTATCATAAACCGAAGTTTACTAATTCAAATACTTTTATTATGTGGCATGACGAGTTGTTTTATGTCGGGTCTTTCATGATGTAAAAAATTATTAAAAATTTATATAGATATCTATTAAAGAGCTAGAAGATTCTTCAATTTAATGAATTTTCATGTTCTATACGTTCTTAAGGCAAATTGATTATTAAGCTATCATCAAGTAAAATTGAGATTGAATCTTCGGTATTGTTAGAATGTATTCAAAGTGATATATATGGATTAATTCATCCACCATATGGATTATTTAAATATTTTTATATATCTCGGACTCAACTTTCTTTTCTTTTAGAATCGTATCACCCTTTTGTTGGTGCCACCTTGAGGAACACCTTATCGTCGACTTTAAATTCCAACTTCTTTCTTCGAGTATCAACATAACTCTTTTGCCTACTTTGAGCTATTTCATTCTTAGCTCTGATCTCGCTTAACGTTTTTACTATCTCGTTGAACCATTTTCGATGCTAACGACTTTCGCTCACCAACATCATCCTAGTGTAGTGGTGATCGGTACCCTCGTCTATATAAAGCTTTATATGGTTCCATATCAATGTCTGGCTTAGTAGCTATTATTGTAAGTAAATTTTGCAAGTGGTATGTATTTTTTCCATTTGGCAAACCAATCTAGAACACATGCTTGTAACATATCCCCTAGGATCCGATTTACCCTTTACGTCCGTCCATTGATTTAAGAGTGAAATACTCGTGCTAAAATTAAAATTGATTCCCATCACTTGATGCGAGCTCTTTCGAAGCTGTGATATGAATCATGGGTCTCGATCTAAAACAATTGAGATTTAAATGCCATGCAATCTCACAATCTTTTTTAAATACAATTCTATTGATTATTGTATGGAATATATGTACTTCATTATAAGAAAATGAGCCGACTTAGTTAGTCCGTCAATAATTACCTATATGCTATGAACTCTCTTCTTAGATCGAGGTAGTTTATAGTAATGTGCTCCTATTTTCATTGGGTATGTCAAGGGGTCTCAATAATCCAATAGCCTTTGATGCTTAATTTTCACTTGTTAACATATTAAACATCTTGTTACAAAGTTAGCAATGTCTCGCTTTATCCCTTTCCACCAATAATTCTTTTTCAAATCTTGATACATTTTAGTGCCTCCTGGATAAATGGAATAGGATGTAGCATGAGTTTTTCTCAAGATATCCTTTTAAAGCTCCTTATTTACAAGAACATATAGCCTTTTTCGATAGTACCAAATGCCATCACTATCGGTGGCATATTTTGTAACCTTTTCTTTAACTATGTCTTTCTAAACTTTCATCAAATATGGATCCTGTAATTGACCATCCTTATCCTATATTTCATGTTAAGTTATAACATCATCATAGCTAACATCATTTTACTATCTCCTCTTGGTATGATCTCTAAATAATCTCTTCATGTCTTTTACAATTTAGATCTCTATAGTCGCTAATGCCTATTAGCTTAAAGCATTGGCCACGATATTTTCTTTATCGTTGTGGTAATGGAAAGCAATGTCATGATTATTTAACACTTCAAATCACTTTTTTTGCCTCATGTTTAACTACTTTTGGGTGAAGATATATTGGAGGCTTTTATGGTCCGTATAGTTGTCACACTTGACCTCATATAAATAATGCCTTCAAACCATCAAGGTAAAAATTACGGTAACTAACTCCAAATCTTGAGTGAGATAATTATTCTTATAATCTTTTAACTTTCTAAATACATAGGCTATGAAATTTTCATGTTGTAACAACACTACATCGAGTCTAATTTTAAATACATAGATATAGACTATGAAGTCTTCATTATCCTCAAGTAGAGCTAAAACATGTATTGTGGTTAACCTAAACTTTAACTATTGGAAAATTCTTTCACATTCATCATCTTACTAAAATTTAGCATTCTTCCTTGTCAATCTAGTTAATGGAGTAGCTATCTTAGAGAATCCTTTCATAAACTTCCTATAGTATCTTGCCATACCAAGAAAGCTCCTCGCCTCTAATATAGTCTTAAGCTTTTTTCATTCTTACACTCGCTTAAACCTTACTAG